GTGTTTACTCAGAAATAATCCCTGCTTATGAATGAAGATTAGCCTCAGGTAGATAAATGTAAGACTGCAGCTATAAAATGTAACAATTCTTAAGTAAATGATTGCAGAACCAGGTAAGAGAGCCGTTAGATGACATCTAGGTATTTTATATATAGGACAAATGGGAATTGAGTAAAATTATTTTAACTGAAAAAAACATTTCAGAGAAAGATTAAATAAACCCCTCTCTCAGCAGTATGTCCAACATTTCTCAGATAAAAGCTTGACTTTTTCTATTAATGGCTTTGTTTACTATGCTTCAATAAGAGAAGTATTGATCTCTGGTTTAGACTGAAAACAGGAAGTAAACTAAACAGTAAAGTAAGGTATAAAGGAAGAAGTACATCACATGGTTCAAGTGAAGAAGAGCTAAGGAGCTAAGGGAAAAAATAGAAATGGAAGAAAGAAATCAAGCCTGATAGCAAACTCTTTTTTTTTGCTTCAAAGGAGGGGGACTTATTCCTCCTATGTCAGGGGTGTCAAACTTGTGGCCTATGGGCTAGTTGCATTACACACTGCCCACGCCCATCCCTGTTTTAGCAAATGGGGGAAACATCACAATATGTCATGTGACAACAATGTGGTGATACAAGTTTGATACCCCTGTCCTATGTTAAAGAGGTTTTGTTGTGGGGTGGAAATAAAACACTAGTTGAAGTATTTTTTGCAACTTAGGTTGGTTTACATATGAAAAAAGAAACCATCCTAGAGACAATACAAACCAAGTTTTTCTTTATTTGCCACATCCAGGGCACTCCCAACGCAAGTACTCAGTACTGCTAGACTTAGCTGACAATTATCTCTGTCTTGGCAAAAGCAATAGAGCAGAATTGAAGAATATCTGGAATGCTGGTAAATTCCTTATTAACTTTGGACTTTGAGAGCAGATGACATGAAATATACATCTGAAGTCAGCTCACTCTCTCAGAGTCCCAGAATTAGCCTAGACACAGACTTTGCTGTAAGTTATTGGAGTACCCCTTTTTCATCTAGCTTTAGGAAAGAGTTTTTCAGGGATGGATGCAACATCCTTCCATCCGTGTTATTGGCAGATATGCCAATATTCCCATAGTTCAATGCATTTGCCCTTGTTGTTCCAGGACAATTGAAAGAATTCAACATGTCCTTTTTATTATAACTTTTATAAAGATCTTCTAAAGAAGATTATAATCCCCCTTTTTTTTACTAAGCACATCTGGAAGAGTGAGTGATTTTTACACCCTCCTTTAAGACTCAAACTATGTATATAATGGCCAAATGTGTTGTTTTCCTCTTCTGTTCCTTTTATTGTTTGATTTATGTGTTTGAATCTATTTTGTTGATCTCTGACCATAAAGAAAAAAATTGATTTGGTTACAAATACTTTTTTAGGTGGGAAATACAGGAAAGTTATAATATGGATCCTAAAATAGAGGAACAAAAAGCATAACAGAGAAAATACATAGTACTTTCTTACAAATAAAATCAAATCTCAGTCCTCCTGATGTTACATAATTATACAATGATATCAGGGGTGAAATGCTCCCGGTTTGGACTGGCTCGGGCGAATAGGTAGCAGAGATTGGGGCTGGTTTGCCAAACTGGGACCAATGGCTGGCTGGCCACACCCCCAAACTGGTCCATGGCCCGCATTCCTGCCATGCTTGCCTGCCTTCCATGCTGCCTTCCCGGCATCCTGGTGGCCAGCTTGCGAAGGCAGGCAAGCATGGTAGGGCTGCGGGAAAGGAGCTAGCAGCTTACTCCCTTCACCGAAGCCCTGCTATGCTTGCCTGCCTTCCACGCTGCCTTCCCGGTGTCCTGGTGTCCAGCTTGCGAAGGCAGGCAAGCGGAAGCCCACGTGGAAGGCAAGTAAGCATAGCAGGGCTGCGAGGAAGGAGCTAGCAGCTTACTCCCTTCCCCGAAGCCCTGCCATGCCTGCCTGCCTTCCATGTGGGCTTCCGTTTGCCTGCCTTCGCAAGCTGGTCACCCGGATGCTGGGAAGGCAACATGGAAGGCAGGCAAGCATTCCAGGGCTGCGGGGAAGGAGCTAGCAGCTTACTCACCCCCCCCCCCAAAGCAGCGGCTTCCCTGCTCAGCCCCAACAAGCTATGCATCCATAGCAATGGGGTTTTTTTGTTTGCTGCAGTGGTGCTTCAGGAGGGCAGGTGGATATATTCATTATAGTTGTCAGCTGCAGACGTCCGCCTGCCCTCCCGAAGCACCACCACGGTTAACAAAACAACCCTATTGCGATGTGCCTCCTCCTGCAGCCAAATGCACCCAGCCATGCGTGCCCTTTCCTCAAATGGGCTGTGTATGGGGTGCTTGGAGAGAAAGTGAGCAAGGGAGCTCTCCAACCTCTGTTTTTTGTGTGTGTGTGTGAGGGAGGGAGGGAGCGATCTGAAGTCAAGGCACCCAAACTTCTGCAACGGCGGGGGAGGCTTCTGAATAGCCCTGAGTCAGCCAGCTCCACCTGACCTACTCCCTGAGTCTCACCATTCTCCTCTCACACACACACCCCACTCAAGCAGGGCCTCTCATTTTTTCCACAGTGTGGCATACACCTGCTACCTCTGCTTGTCTGCTTGCAAGCAATGATCTTCTGTGCTTGTCTCGGGATGCTGGTGCAGGCACCATGGATGCATAGCTTGTTGGGGCTGAGCAGGGAAGCTGCTGCTTGAGTGGGGTGGGGGTGGGAGTGATGAGAACAGCGAGACTCAGGGAGTAGGTCAGGTGGAGCTGGCTGACTCGGGGCTACTCAGAAGCTGTCCCTGCCGCTGCCAGACGTTTGGGTGCTTTGGCTTCAGATCCCTCCCTCCCTCCCTCCCTCCCTCCCTCCCTCCCTCCCTCCCTTACACACACACACACACACACACACACACAAAACCAGAGGCTGGAGAGCTCTCTTATTTGCTCTCTCTCCAAGCGCCTCATGCCCAGCTCATTTGAGGAAAGGGCACGCACGGCTGGGCACGTTTAGCTGCAGGAGGAGGCCCGGGTGGAAGGCGGCTTTTTCTGCAGCATCTCCCTTTGGATCACCCTGCAAGGGGGAGGCTCTGCCTTTGCAGAAATGGGGTGGGCTGTTTGTATGGAGAATTGGAGGGAGGGAATATGCAGCCCTCCGGGATGAAGAGCAGGGCAAGAGAAGTCTCCGAGGTTTGCTTGGGCAGTCAAGCCAGAGGGAAACTCAAAGCGTTGGGGGCTTAAGAAAGGCAGAATGTGCTTTTGTGCAGCTCCTGGCTTCTGTGACATTCTGTGAAAGACAGAATGTGCTTCTGTGTCAGAATGTGGAGCTCCTGGCTCTAACAGTGAGTGGTGTGAGTGACGTCAAATTGGCTATGCCCACCCAGTCACATGACCACCGAGCCATGCCCACAGAACCAGTAGCAAAACATTTTATTTCATCCCTGAACTATATGGCTACCTGGATGTTGGAAAACCATTTAATGTCCATCTAACAATAGCAATAGAAGTAGCACTTAGACTTGTATACCGCTTCACAGTGCTTTACAGCTCTCTCTAAGCGGTTTACAGAGTCAGCATATTGTCTCCAACAATCTGGGTCCTCATTTTACCAACCTCGGAAGGATGGAAGGCTGAGTCAACCTTAAGCCTGGTGAGATTCAATCTGCCAAACTGCTGGCAGCCAGTGATCAGCAGAAGTAGCCTGCAGTATTGCACTCTAACCACTGTGCCACTGCGGCTCATCTACCTTGAAATAAAAAAAAATCCCCTAAAGGAATGGCGATATACTGTATGTTGCATTCAGAATAATGTACAGTTTGATCATATACATGGAATAAAGATGGGGTGGATATCTCCTTTTATTAAATAGTAAGTCTAACATTCATGCATTTATATACAGCAGTTACTGGACTGCAATTACTTTAGCTGATCAGAGATATTACCTAGGAGCCTAAAAGCAAAAGCACCATGGATTAATTAATATACTGTATGTTGATGAAATCCTGCTAGTGTGCTGTCATGATGCTCTACTCCTGCCAGTTGGGGTTGTGATTGTGACTTATGTCTGTGGAGATTCTCAGCAACCCCAGTCATGGTTGTCCCAAAGCTTTTTCAAAAGGCAGAATTGTCAGAACTGAAAAAGCTTCTTGGATGAGAAGCAAAACGTCTTCAAACAAAAAACAAAGAAAATCTACTTGCCTTTTGAAAAAAGGCACCTTTGGGATGATTGTGATTTATCCTTCTGCCATTGCATTTTATCCTTCAAAGAGGAAATATTGCTTGAGCCCAGGGAATGTTATTTCTGAAATGGCGAAGTATTACTCTCTTCTGTTTCATGAGATGGTGTGCACCCTCTGTTTCCTGCATCAGTCCATTTTTCATTATCTAGACTCCAGTTGTAGCAACTTGCTAGCATAGTTAGTAAAAAATTCTAAAATGCAGAATTCCTAGTTGGCTAACATTGCAAATCACAGGAAAGCAAAAACAGTTTGGTATCATAATGACTGGGAAACTTCTGAGGGTTTTCAATTCATTTGCTCACATTTTTCAACAACTAACATCTCTGCTACACAGCTTCCTACAAAAGTGCTCCTGGGAGTTTTTGCAAAACAGTAGAAAATGTTCACAAATATGCATGTAGAAATACACAGAGCTTAGGAAAATGCAATGCTAGCCCTTTCTTTCTTTCTTTCTTTCTTTCTTTCTTTCTTTCTTTCTTTCTTTTCTTTCTTTCTTTCTTTCTTTCTTTTCTTTTCTTTTCTTTTCTTTTCTTTTCTTTTCTTTTCTTTTCTTTTCTTTTCTTTGAATCAGGTAAATCAAAGAAGTGATTCTGTTATGACCCAGGTGGTCAAGGCAAGGCAGGTCTCTAGAGAGTTTCTCAACAAACGTTCCAGCCAATGGCCCTCCAACAACTGGTAAGGCTCTACCCCCATGTTACCCTAAAGGCAGCCATCCTCAGTCTCCCAAACATAGCCCTAGTAGTACAAAGAAAACCCAAAGAGTAGGAGCACACTCACAGGGCAAGGTCCAGGGTTCCAAGTCCAATCCACAAGGTAGAGTCCAGACACAAGACAAGGGCTGTCCTCAAGGCAAGAAACAAGATCCCAGGCAAGAAGCAGTTCCAAAGGCACAGTAAAGTCAAGGCCAAACACAATCTACAAAAGAAGAGCTAGGTTCAAAACAAAAGGTGAAGAACAATTTTCCAAGTGAGGCAAGGCAAACAGCAACAGGCATGAGTCAAAGCCAGGGGAGTGTAAACCAAGCAAATCCTGACAAAGACTAACTCCCTATGGCTTCTCCTTCAGTTACTCCCTTCTAGATGTTCCTTGTGAGGAGGGGTGGGGTGACCTCCTCCTGAGTAGCCTTGCAGCCCTTCTCTGGGCTTGCCTATGCTCCATTCTTCTTGCCCTTGGATCAATGGAGTAGATAGCTGTTCTTCATTGGAGATCGGCTGCCTATCAGCACCACTGCTGGTTAGCAGCTGATCCTCTCCTGTGTCTGTGCAGGCAGACAGCTGTCCATCTGGTAGACATCCCTTAATGACTGAGGGGCTGGGACAGTATCATTCTCAGGCCCTGATGTGCCTTTCCTGTCAGAAGGTCCCAGATCCAACTCCTCCTCCAAACTGGGCTCTGTGGAGGTCATGACAGATTCTTTGTTTAGGCATGGATCTGGTGGAACCTACGAGCACCGTGATAAGACAGTTAATGACCAGAATGAAATAATAAACAAGCAGCAATCAGGTAAACATCTCTCTCTGCTCAATATTGGCCAGAAAGAGCAAACATGTATTAAGTAATTAATGATTCACATTGAATTTTAAACTTATAACTATGTTTGTACCATAATCTATGACTAGTCAGAACCTCCTGGATCAATCTCAGTTCTGCTTTCAATTGGGTCATCTCCAGACTTGGGAGATGAAAAAAGATCAGTCCATGGATACATGCATGCATCTATATATTCTTCTTTTAAGAATGCTTTTGCCAAAGGTTTTATTGTAATTTCAGATATATTAGGTTGTACAATGATAAAAATTGTATTTCCTGCCACTTTTCCTAATGCCAAACTATAGATTTAAAATACAATAAAATACTAGTTGCACAGTACTAGTATGATACCTTCTAATCACTGAATTCTGTAATACAAATAGTGCAATAACACATACAGCTTTGATTCATCAGCACTAGATGAGTTACAACCTCAAAATGGTATGCAATTTGTTTTTGTTATTTATCACATCCATATGTTGACCAATCTTCTAAATTCATGGCAGCTTACAATATATTAAGCATGATGTATACATTCTAGTGTATAAACTGATTGATTTAGCAGATAAAATTTTAAATGATTAGAGACATAATCATGAAAAGCATGATTGAAAAGCAGCAGCCTGTACCTCCATCAGAAGCTTACACGATCCTGTACAGCATCCTTTGTAAGTTTCATGTTCTTAAATCCATATACTGTATGCACACTTGGAAACCATAAACCAATTGTCATAACTATTGTCTGACAATTTGTAAGCAAATGGTACAATAGGGCTTCTGCTGTGTAAAAAAAAAAAGAAAAAAGATTGGCTGACCAACTACTCAGGGCACATTCTATATTTGCTCGCCAGGAACCTATAGCGGAAAAAGACAGTCTAGATATTTAAGATTTTAACTTCATCTATTAAGTGGACCAAACATTAACCATGTGTAGATTTGAATCCTTCTCGCAAAAGCCATTGTCTTCATTTCATGATGATTTCATGATGATTTGAACAGTAGGAGATAAGGATTTTTAGGACTCTTTTCAGCCCCATTAAATATATGGGAAGGAAAAAATTATCAAATCATCTGCATTAAAGATTAGTCCCCTCCTTGACAGCTTTCAGAAAATAATCAGAACTGAATTGTACTATAATGAACAGTTAAGAGTGCAAATGTTGGGGAAAGAGATGAAAGGTAAACCAAGATAATGGAAATTAAGAGAAGATTAATGAGAAAAGTTAGTAAATGAGCATATCTAATAATTAGCAAATTGATTTTTTTTATTGCTGGAATAATATTGCTTTTTCTATATTGTATAATATTCTTAGTTCATCAAGTTAGAAAGACAAAATTGTTATAAACTCATTATAAAGGGCTGAGTGGGAGGAACATTCTTGTGTTAATCCCATAACAATATACGTGTGAGATTTGATTATGATTAATTTTCATGGACATTTCATTAATAGTTATATAGTTAGTTGATCTGAAAAAAAAATATGGTCCTAATGGAAAATGTGATACTCTGCTTTGATTAAATACATGGACTGCCCAAATGTACCATAAAATTAGATTTTATCAATTACTGGTTTCAAAGGGTATATATTAATGATAATTCCAGATATTTTAATGTAAGGCTAGGTTAGCACTATTAATTTGGCTCTCCCAGGTCTGTTTCTTAACACTTCAAGCATCTATGGTATTCTCAACATTTAGAGCAATATTATTCTTTCTCCTGATTATTGATTTTAGAAAATATTGCAAAATAATATTCTTAACATATTCTTTAAAAAGAATATTATTTTCCTAAATGAAAAAGTTAGAAGGAAACCACCACCATTTTACCTATTTAGTTAGGAGTGCATACCATTATAACTACTTATACATTTTGGGCTTGGCATTCTGTTGGAAGTTGAATTCCAAGCTTGTCCATCCAGTTAGGAAACAAGCGGCAGAAATGTCGCCTTAGCAGAAGTAAAAGAGATCGAAACCAATTGCTAGAAAGGAGGTCTGCTTTATTCAGAAGCGAAGTGACTCAGCATCAGTTCTGGGACAGCTGACAACTGGTGAGTAGATGGATTTTTATGTTTTCCTGGTTTTGTAATTGAAATGTCCAGATTTGTTGTGCAATGGACTAGTATGTGACCTTTTTAATATTTTAATTGTGGTGGGCTAGCCCCTATTGAGATTGAGGGGTCATATCCTGCCCTCTAGGTTAAGTGGGGAAATGTAGATTAATTTAATTTACATTCCCCCACTGGCATTTTAATTCCTTTAGCCTTTGGCTTCTTGCAAAACCTGTGGCTGGCAATCATTCTGTTTATGAATAGGAGCACTGCAATATTTTCTTCCTCTGAATGGAGATGTTCCAGATGCTTGGTATCTGCTTTCAATAAGCGCTTCACTTTTGTGAATGAGATACAAAAGTATCCCATTCATGGATACCGAACTTGTTGCAAAAACCACTCAGGGCGGTTTTCCTAGTCAGTGAGGGAGTGCAGTTTGATTTTCTCATTGTAGAAAGTTTTTTCTATTTTGGGGGGTAGTTTTCTTTCTTATCTGATTTTCGGGGGGGGGACTCCCTACAATCCCCTGTTCTGTGCTAATATTTGTGGAAAATATTCAGCACAATCATATTTAATTGGGGTAAAGTTGCTACTTTTTGTCTATTTTGTACATCATTAGTGATACCTGCTTGGTGTCTCTTTTTAGTGAAGTGCTAGATTCCTTACTTTTTCTGCTAGCAGTTCACATAGTTTACATTTAATACATGTATAATTTGGGTGTTCTTTGGGCATAAGCACATACATGGAACATGATGAATGGAACATGTATTGCATACCACAATAGTATCAGTCAACTGTTCTATGAGTTTGTTTCTTTTTGCTGGGTTTTTTTAGGGTAAAAAAATTATGTACAAGTAGGAGATTTTATCTCAATATATGTTTGAAGAAAGATAAAAAGTGGTTTAAAAATGTTTCATTTTGGTTGTTCATTTAAGGATGTGGAAGATTTTGCTAGTTTTCCAGCAGAAAATTTTAAGTTAATAGTTTAAAAATGTAATAGTTCATTTAAATTTTCAAAGTTTAAAAGTTTTAAGGTTTAAAAATTTAGTATTTGAAAATCCCCTTTTTGATTGGTAGATATGCTTTGCTCTTAGCCTTCTTTCTAGCTTCTCTGTTTTAGGTAATTATCCCTATTTTTTTTCTATCCTTTTTTCCTATGTGCTCGTTTTTCTACCTTGTTATTTATGCCTCTCATCTTTAGAGATCAGTTCTCTCTAACTCAATGTTTCTCTGCTGCTGTGTTTCTCCCCTCTGCTGATTCTGCTGCTGTATTCTCCAGTTCTGCCACCACCAATTTCTAACAACCACCTTTGCTGGACAGGTTGCTCCAGGCCCTTTTTCCTCTGCCAGATAGGCCACTGGGAAGGGCTGTCGGACTAGCAGGAGGCAGGGGTAGGCTGCTGATCTCGCTGGGAAGGGAATGTTGAGCAACTCCTCCATCTGGGCAGGTCATTGGGGAGGGCTGCTGGGCTTGAAGGATGCAGGGGGAGGGCTGTGGTAGTCAGGCTGTCTCAAGTTTGCTAGGCCCTGGGGCGTGCGATACCTGGCTGCCCCCTCAAGGCGGGCTGGCTAGATTGGAGTGGGTCTAGAGCCTAGGCAATTACTAAATATACTGTGAGATTTGTTGCCTCTACCAGTCTACCTTCTTGTCCGCTGTTTAGCTGCTGGTTTGCTGCTCTCAGTTCCCTCTTTTCCAGCATTGGGCTACTTAGTTGGGCTCCTGATCTGGATCTGTTGTTCTCTGTTGCCGGCTGCTTCTGACTCAGCATGCAGCCATTAATTTGCTGCACTGTTGTTTTGCTGGTGTTTTCCTTCTTACCCCAATTTCTTCTTTTCTTTATCCTTTCTGTCTTCCTTACATAGCATCTCAAATATTGTTTAACCATTGCATTTGTGCGTTCCGCGGCCCCATTAGTGTTCAGATGGAATGCCAAACTGAGCTCCTTATCTAACTTTCTGCTCCTTTTCCTCCCCTTTCCCCCTCTCCTTATACTATCCTACTAAATTTAGTAACTTCTCCCCCCACCCCCCATGATCTGATACTGCTTCTTCAGCTGCCCCTACATGAATGCATGCTAGTGTGGCCATTTCGGAGCCGGTTTGCCGAACTTAACAACAACCAAAAAAAAGTATCGGTCCTGTCAAAACAGTGCGAACCGTGTGAATCCCACCACAGATTCAATCTATCCAAGGGCAACATGAAACTGTTAGTCTATGAGAGGATATACACATAGCATCTCAAATATTGTTCAACCATTGCATTTGCGCATTCCACGGCCCCAGCGGAATTTCCACTTCCGGCGTGTCTCAAAATGGCGGCGGTCGACTGAGCTCCACTTAGGAGAGGGAGATGTTGCTGGTGCCGGGGTCTTCGGGAGCCGTTTTAACCATCTCTGGCTCCAGTCCCAGTGAGGGGAATGCCCGCCCTGCTTTTTCGCCCTCCGGAATATCAGGGCAGGGCAGGACTCGCTGTTTGAAGCCGCCGCGGGAGATGGAGCGATGGCCTGCTGCAACAGCTGTTTCCGGCTTGTTAGCACCGGAAGAAATGGAGGCCAAAGTGTTCGGCGGCAGTCGGCGGTTTTGTGCGGTGGTGGCGGCTTGGAGGTGCCCTTCATCCCCCTTGCCCCTCAGGGATCTCTGGGACACTCTTTGGATGTTTTTCGGGGGCCATGGGGGTGCCTGGGGGAGCCTGGGGTGCCTGGGGGAGCCTAGGGTGCCCGTTACGAGCCGGTGACGATGATGACGGCGGAGGCGGCTGAAGGCAATGGCAGCCACAGACCATCCGGCTAAGGAAAGAGCTTGCAGAAAGAGCCTTGCCCTCAGGACCATCTGCTCTTTTTTGGAGTGTGACCCCTACTATCTGGGGTTTTTTGTCATCAGAGCTGAGACTGGGGATTTGGGGAGATTTGGGGCAGGAGAGGCGGGAGGCTGACCAGGGTTGGTTTATTGGTCGCCTTGGGTGGCTTCTCCTCCCCCCCCTTTTCTCTCAGGTATGGGTGGGCGTTGGCCTTCGATGGCTACCCACCCTTGGACTGGGTTCTCGTCTGCTATTCCTACTCTCGCCTCAGGGAAGAGCTTGTGTCTGTGGAATTATCACCATTGTCTTTAATAACTTTACAAACTGCTGGCTTCTTGTGCGACCCCTGGAGGAGAACTGGGCAAAACGGTGTGCAGGTGCTGAGGGGGCTGTTTGTCATCCGCCAGATGAAAGGATGGACTATTGTGACTTTATTGTCGGTGTCATTTATCCCAGTCACTGTGAGAGGGTGACTGGGATAATTATCCTCCGGACGTGGGGGGGATGACACTGGCCCCTCCCACTGCCGTGAGAGGGCAGTGAACCAGCTCCTGATATGAAGATCTACTTTGACCTAGTATTATTGGACGATCAGGTGAAGCTCTGACCAGTTGACTCTCCACCTCTGTTTTGTGTGATGTTTACGGCTGCTGAACTGCTTGCGCTGCGAGACTCCCCCCCTCTCGCAGGTTTGGCCCTCCTCACTATTGAGGGTCTACCTTGATGACGGATTTTGGAATCCCGAGAGGTGGCATGCGGCGAGGAGGGGGTTGTGGGGTTTTTTGGGGAAATTTTTAGATAAGGTTTTAAAGGTTTCTGGGAGGGGGGTGGGCTCTGTGGGTTTGGGGGAGAACCTGTTGGGGAGGAGCCAGAGCCGGCTGAAGAGTGCGGCACAAGAGGTGCGGGAACCGGGGTCAAGGAGGGGGTTAGAGCTTGTGTTGTGGATGGACACTACATCAGTACTATGGGTGGGAGGGGCAGATATGGCGGGAGCAGGGGGCCACATCAGGTTGTGGGAGTGCGCGCCTGCTGGCTCCAAGCGGTGGTGCGCTCCAGCCTCCAATGGTCCTGGGCCTTCATCTGATGCTGTACAACGCCCGGTCCGTGGTAAATAAAGCCCCCCTCATTTGTGATCTTGTTCAGGAAAGGGGAGCGGACCTGGCGGGTATTACGGAGACCTGGTTGGGCCAGGAGGGGGGTCCCCCTCGTTGAGATATGCCCACCCGGTTTCCGGGCATTTCATCAGCCGAGGACACAGGGGAGGGGAGGGGGTGGCGGTTGTCATTAGAGAAGGTCTTGGTCCGAAGGAGGCCATTGTTCCTCAGACGGCTGGATGTGAGTCCCTCCTTGTGAAGTGGGGTCATGGGGTGCAAATGGGCGTGCTGGTTACGTACCTGGCTCCCTGCCACGTGGCGGCAGCCCTGCCCGAGCTGCTCATCGTTATAGCCGCAGTGGCGGTTGACACCCCCAGGCTTATGGTCATGGGGGATTTTAACCTGCCATCCATCGGTGAGGCGTCTGAGGTGGCTCCGGAGTTCATGGCTTCCATGACGGCCATGGACTGACCCAGTTAGTTCATGGCCCTACTCACACGGGGGGAAACACGCTGGACCTGTTTTTTGTCTCTGGTCAGTGGTTGAGTGATCTTGACATAGGGGATATAGTCATGGTCGGATCACTCCCTCCTTCGCTTTGACTTTCGAACCGCCACACCCTGCCACAGGGAGGCGGAACCGTTGAGGTGGGTCCGCCCCAGGCACCTGATGGATCCAGGTAGGTTCCAGATGGAGCTTGGGCCATTTCCTGAGGCTCTGGCACACAGCTCGACTGAGGAGCTAGTGGCCGCCTGGGATAGGGCAGCCTCTGGAGCTTTGGATCAGGTCGTGCCTTTGCGGCCTCTGACCCGGTGCCGATCTCGCCTGGCTCCTTGGTTCACCGAGGAACTGAGGGAGATGAACCGCCAGAAAAGATGCCTGGAGAGCGGTTGGAGGGCCAGCCATTCTGAATCTGACCGAACACTGGTAAGGTCTCATATTAAGACCTACCTGGTGGTGATAAAAGCGGCAAAGTATAACTATTTTGCCGCTCTTATTGCATCATCAGATAATTGCCCAGCCACCCTGTTTAAGGTGACCCGCTCCCTGCTCCACCAGGAAGCGTAGGAGGACCCCTTGGAGGGTAGAGCCAAGGATTTTGTACAGTATCTGTATGACAAAATCGCTCAGATTCGGGAACACCTGGACTCTGACTGGGTAGATTCAATGGGGAGGACAGAGGCAGGTCTTGTGAGTATTTTCTGGGAAGAGTTTGATTCTGTCACGCCCGAAGACGTGGACAGGATACTGGGCAGACTGAGCGCAGCCACATGTTTACTGGA